CGCCCCCCAGCTGCGGCTGCTGCTCCTTCAGGTGGGCCAGGGCCTCCCGGATGGAGCCCTCCACTGTGCAGAGCTGGATCTTGTACCTGTGCAGGCAGGACAGGCAGCTGCCTGCTGGGCTGTGGGAGGTGCTGCTCATCCCCCCGCCCGGCCCTCTCTGCCCCGTCCCTCTGGACGGTCGCCTGGATGAACTGCTCCATTTCGGGGAAGGGGGACACGATGCGGATGTAGAGCACCTGCAGCTTCTCCTGCCTGGCCGGGTATCGCCTGGGGAGAGACCCACCCGTCGCAGCTGCGCTCTGGCAGCCACCCAGTCCCTGTGAGCTGGGCCTCAGGAATCCACTTGTTCCCCCAGAGCTGGGCAGGGAAGAGCCCTGGAGCCCTGGCTGGGGCCCGTGGGACCCCCTCACCCCTGCCCCAAGCTGGGCCAGCAGAGCCCCGTGGCCGGGTACCTCTCCACAGCAGCGTGGACGAGGTGCAGCAGGGCCGTGCAGTCCTTGCCCCCGTTGAAGCCCACGCAGAGCTGGGCCAGGCTGTACCGGTCCAAAGCCTCCTCGATGGTCCGCAGTGCTGCTGCCACCTTCTGCCCCAGGGCCGAGCCTGCCGGGAGGGGATGGTCGGTGCCCGCCTGGGGCCACGCTGCCTCAGGGCCTGCGGCACCTCACCCTCCGGGCACATCTCATCTCCAGACAGACCGTGGAGACACTGCCGGCACCGCAGCCTGGAGCCAAGAGCTGGCACAACCCAGAGGTCTGGCCATGGATGGGACAGGGATCCTGCATGCACTGGGGATCCACGGCACCACTCCCCATAATGCATGCCGCAGCACCAGCGGGCCCTAACTGGGCTTACGGGACCCACTCCCACCTGTGTGGGACAAAGCCCATTGTAGCTGCTCAGCACCCCTCAAGCCCCCCAGCACACCAGAACAGGCAAGCTCTGCTTCCCAGCCAGTCTTCCCACTGCCCTGGCCCTGCTGGGCTGCAGGGTCCATGCAGGAGCAGCGCAGAGGCACTGAGCTGTGCTGCAGCACCGCTCCCCTGTACCTGACTCAGCCAGGCCATAAACCTCCACGGCTGCCGGCGAGACACAGTCCGTCACCAACGGCACGACAACGCCTGGCGGGAGCTTCTCCACCAGGAAGCGATGCGATTCCTCCAGGTCCTGCTCCGACTCCGAATCCAACGTCAGCTTCACGCGGTAGTAGTTGTTGGCCCAGTCCGGGTAGGAACCCAAGCTGACGCGACCCTGGAAGGTGGCGACGGCCTGGTCCAGCGCGGGCGTGATGAGGATCTCATCAGCCGCCACGTAGATGGTGCGGGAGTAGAAACGGGTCCGCTCGCTGCGGAAGAGGTGGGCGAAGCCATCCAGGGCACGCTCCATCAGCGCCGGGATGCCGGGGAAGATGTAGACATTGCGCACGCTGACCAGCGGGTACTTGAAGGCGCCGCCCGTGCGCCCGTCCATGCCGTAGTTGAGGCAGGAGGACTCGGGGACGCGAGCCAGCTTCATCTCGGGGCACTGCGCGTCCGTCTTGCCGAAGAACTTATGCACCAGGGCCACCAGCTCGGGGTGGGGGGCGACGCTCTCCCCGAAGGCCCTGGCCACGGCCTCGAAGGTGACGTCGTCGTGCGTGGGGCCGATGCCCCCCGAGGTCAGCACGTAGGTGAAGCGGGCGGCGAAGGCGGCCACCTCACCG